TTCTTAACTGAGTAGTGAACAATGATTTCTATTGTTCCTGTCTTTTTTTGGGGGGGGGCAGTAGTGTTTTAATAATTTTTTCTACCTCTTAGAAGAAAAAGGCAAAGCAAACAGTTATCACATGAGGAAAGGTACATTTGCATTTTATATACATATAGCTAATGCTAAACCCACACAAAGATAAAAACAGACATTTCCAGCTATAGAATTTTACTATTTATTATAGCCAGACTTACACAAGTCAAATTTCCATGACATTTGACTTTCTAAAGAAAAATTGCCACTTTTTTTAAATACTGAGTTTTCACAGTTCTCACTGAAATTAAATGAAGGCGTGAATGCCCAATGACCTTGAAAAATAGTCGCTTTCCTGCAGTATCCCTTTTCTGTTTCTATCAGAATCCCCAGTATGAAAAAGCTGTCCTTCTTGCACAAAATAAGTAGATGACCAAATAAACACTGTTCACATGCACCAGAAATTTCAGCATGAGTTAGGGTATGCAAAATCAAGTAAAATCCAAGCAAACAAGCAGCAAAATCACCCTCCTAACATCAAGTGAATTTACTACAAGTTGCATTTTTGGATTTGTAGATATGGGATAAGAAAATCAAGACAGAAAAGTTTTGACTGGCTTGATCACTAACTATATCTCAACAGTAACAAATGATTAAAAAGGAAAATTCAACTGGAAAAGTTTTAAACATAGAGGAAGTTTCATAAGCGTCTTTTTGTAGTATAATTTAATTTGCTATATTTCTTACTAGGACAATATTACTCTGCTTGTATTTAACATTGAGTTTATTGTCAAATAATTATTCTTTCTGTTTTCGGATTGCATTATTGTGTTTTTCTTCCTCCAGATATGTATCATGGACATTTTTCTTTCTTAGTTTTATATCATATATAACAACTAAAGCCTGGAATTTGTAGCTTCCCATCACCTTCATAGAACTGTAAGATACAAGCAGGAATAAAAATAAAAACATACCTTATCATCAAGTAGTATGCTAACCAAAAGGAGAAAAAAAAAGCTTTGTGTATTTCTAAATAGTCCTCTAGGAGTCTTATACTTCTACTACTTGCTATATATGGTTTCTCCCCCTGTTATGACATCTCTGATTATTAAAAAAAAAACTTTCAAAAATGTTAAGGCACAAACCTTTGTATGGAATACTTTTAGTATGCTTTTTATTCTGACAAGATTAATAATTATCCTATAAGCATGACACAGTGTTTTAAAATGTTTTTTCCTGCTATGAGTTAGGATTGTGCACATAAATGTGGAAAGAAAGGTTATTTCACAGCAGAGAAAAGCGTATTTAAACAAACTGTGATTAAATGGTAAAGCTGCTTAGAAATGAAAAGCATGGTTTTTTTCTCACCACAGTTATTCTGAATTTAAAATACCCATAGTAAGTTTCCAAAGGACACTGGGCATTTTTAATGAAAACACAAGCTACTGAAATTAATGAGAGATAATTGAGAGAACCATAGCAAATGTCCCAGAGCTTTGGCCAAAACTGGACGGAAAAAGATCCGCTTGTGTAGCAAGTGATAACTGCGTGCCCTCCCTACCAATACCACTCTGTCTTCTTCTGTGGCACCTGCAACCAGCTCATGGTGGGAGCAACTGGCTCTGTGGGAACCAGTCTACAGACTAACCAGGCTTCTGCTGTCCTTCAACAAGACACCTCACAAGTGCTGACAGTCCTCATGGCAGCCTTAAGTCTTTCCCAGAACACACAACTGCCCTTTCTGCTAAGCTCATACACATCCAGCACTTCCCATCGATGCAAAGACGCAGGTATGGGGTTTTTGATCGTTCAAAATGCTCAGCAATGCATGTCCTACTTATCAGTATGTAGTGACCACAATTATTGCTGGCCTGATTCACTGTTAAGTGTGTAGGATGTAACACTTAGACAGCTGAGGCATAAGGGCAAGATCAATGTGGCCCTCATACCTAACTCCATTCACGGCATATAAATGTAACAATAATCTCTCCACCGACATTAAGACCTAATGGAAATATTTCAGGGAGCAGAATGAGAGCTAGGTCCTGCTCATTCCAATCAAACAAAACTCCATGTAGCTTCAATGAACGGGACAAGCAAGATTTGGCCCATCTTGAGCAGCACAGGTTTGGCTTCCAGATGCCGAGCTGTACCCACTCATTGGAGAAGGACAGTGAAACGCTGGAGCCAATAGACCTTGAACTAAGGAGAGGACCAAGGGTAACACCTTCTCTGCACTTTAACAGATGGCAAGGCAAGGAGCAGCACCAAATTTGCCCCTGAGCTTTAGTGCTGGGCTTCAACCATGGTAAAGTCTTTCTACTAACTTTACTTGAAGGAGTAATTTTAAAATAATTTAATGCCAAGTGCCAGAGGGCCCACTTTTTCACAACATTAAACTGAATCACATCAGCTCCCATTCTAAATATAAAATATGATTGCATTACTTGACTTCATACTTTTTATAAAGGTCCCATTGTGGTGGGGTTTCACAAGGTATAAAAGCCCATACAGGTATTATGGGCCATATCAGTCCATTTCATCTAATTAATCATCAGCTTAAAAATGTTTTTCTTGAATCATAGTAGAAAAAATAAAATGTGTTCTTTTTTATCATTTCCAAAATTAAATTTATATTTCATAATGACCATATTTCATGTGCAAAATAACAAGATATGCTTACATACCTGACTTCCCTCCTTTAGTGAGTTGCTTCATTTGTAAAACATTGCATATAAGATTAGAACCTAAAATGAATTACTTGGTTTTTCTTGATATGAAATCTTGTTTAAGTTCACAGCAATTTTAAATATGATACATTTAAAATATTAATATTTCCCATATATTATTCACTGACTTTCAGTTTCATCTCAAGTTAGTGGCACTTCTTATTTCAAAGGAAGAACTGTTTCTTTTTTTCAGTACTAATGTTCTATTAATTCACTTTGTAATATCATTCTGGTTCAGACAAATAAAATTGCACTAAATTGCTTATGCCAAGAATCGTGCTAAAGTTGTTGGCACTATATAAAATTCCATATTCCATTACTATTTTATAAGTTTTTTATATCAGTGGCATCTTTTTAGGCATAATTCATAGTCCCATTTAGTTAGTTCTAGAAGGGCAAATACACACAGAGGGATTTTTATGCTGAGATGGGGGTGTATGAAGGTATTTACAGTAATGTTTGAAACTAAAGTGACTTTTGCAATGCACCATATACCAACTCCCAGTGAACTACCTTAATGACTTTTCCTTTATGAATAGTTTTTGTTTTGGGCAGTTTTCTCTTCCAGCATGTTTGTTATCACACACATGTATAAACACATACATATACACACACATAGATTTGTGAAAAATAAATTTGTGTGCATACAGAAATACTTGAAAGGCCTCATATGCATATTATGCAACATGCCATTCATGTATTCACTACAATACAAAAAGAAAATTCATTTTATAGATACAAATAAAATATGCTAAAGTAGTCCTTAAAGGACCCTAAAGTCCTAAACATAGATGGATTCTTCATCACATCCAAAGAACTGAAAGAACTATGGGTAAATCCAATCTTTTTATATGTTCATTTATATTTTATAGTTTTTACATTAAGTCCACGTGGCCTCATAGCTATTTCCAGAGATGTGGATGAAAGTTACACCTGGATAAACTGAAAACTTTAATGAGTAATGCAGTATCTAATCCTATGAAATGCCTTGCTGAAGTGAATAATTACTAAGTGCTGGAGCAAAAGTAGCAAACAACAGTAAAATCACCTGTAAATAGATGTGAGGAACTATAAATACACTTTAGCATTTGTATAGTTGACTTTCTCTGACTGATTTCTCTCATCAAAATCAGATGTTCAGGAGGCAGAAATTCAACTCCAAGGAATGCAGATTAATACATATATATGAATATATAGTCTATGACTAAGTTTGCAACATTGTTAATAATGTATGCTCCTTTTCTAATGCCTAGTATTTGCTCCCTCGGCAATTTTAAAAATAAGAAAATTTGATCCAACTCTTTCAAAAAATAAATTGCAAAATAACTGATGCAAATCCCTGTCACTTGTGAACACAATGAAATTATACAGAAAGGAGCAAATGCAGGAGAGGCTCCTCCTCAAAAATAGAAACGAATGCCCTGTTCCTATACGGTCCTCAAATGGCAGAATTTTGAAATATGGATTAGACCTCAAATGCAAATTAACTTTGGAAGGCAGGGAGAGGGGAAAAAAAAATCAGGGACATACCAAGTCAAACACTCCTTTTCCTGCCTATCTCGTCCGCAATGGTAAAATAGGCTAAACAAAACAAGTGCACATCAAGATACAGCCAATTAAGGAATAGAGAGCAGGGGGAGAGGGTGGAGAGGAAGGCACCTCACTGAGCACATGGGGAGTGGGAGCGCAGCATCCCACCATACCTACCTTATGAGTGTTCAAAGGAAGACAACTGGGGTAAATTGGAGCCAGCTTTGATTTTTGCCATCCGGTTGCACCCGGGATGCGGGGGAGTGGGGTGGGGCAGAAGGGTCGGTCTGGGCGGAGGTAGACGGGTGATAAAAAAAAGTGGGGCTAAATACTGAGCGAGGGTGCCGAACGCTATGCAAATAGTCGGTCTTTGTTTGTCGTTTTATTTTTTTGGGGCGGTGGGGGGTGTGAGAAAAGGCACCGTCAGCGGCGAGGTGAGTGGGTGCCCGCACGGTCCGCACACGCGCGGGGGAGGGCGAGGGGCGTCGTGCGGGAGCGCCGGCGCGGGGCAGCGCTGCCCCCGAGGGGCGCGGGGCCGGGCGGCGGGCGCGGGGGCCGCGCCTTCCCGGGAGCAGCGGCCGCTCCAGATGGGGAGAGAGGGGGTGCGGACCCCCCTCCTTCCGTCAGTCATCGCCTCCCTAACCCCCCGACCGCTCCCCCCCCGTCACGGCTGCCTCACCGCTCCCGGCGGCTCCCGGCTTAGAAATGGAGACCGGCAACTCTCACCAGAGCTCGCCCGCATCCCACGGTCCTGAGGAAGGAGTTTGGGGCGGCGGGGGGAAGCGAGGCGTGGGGAGGGGGGGTTGTTTGAGAGTGACGGTGAGGCGAGGAGGAGGAGGAAGGAGGAAGGCTGGGAAGAAGGGGGTGGAGGGAGACGGCTTCTGAAATGGAGCCAGCCCAAACGGGAGACGATGCTGGAACAGGGGCTGCGTCATTTCGGGGCTGGGAGAGGGCTCAGCTCCCCTCCGCCGCTTCCCTGTCTGCAGGCAGGGAGGACAGATACCAGCAGGCCAGGGCAGGGTGCGGGGCGCTGCGGGGTCGGGACCACCTCCGCCCGCCCTTCTCCGCAAGCCCCCGGGGCCGGGACGGGAAAGGAATACCCCACGCTGGGAAAAGGGATAAGCCGCCTTCGGTCTGCCTAGCGATGCCAGAAAAGACAGGGGCAAGGAGAGGACTCCGGGACTCGTCGGCCACAAAGCAGTAGGCAGGACGGGTGGGGGGGGCCGAGACGAACGGGGCCCGAGGCAAGACCAGCTACCGCTGGGGTGACAGGGTCCCGGGACGGCGAGGGTAGGAGGAATGATCGGCATTTATAACGCCGGGGGAGGCTCACAGCCTTTCAAAGAGTTTCAGCTGGGTGAGTGGAAATGCCTTCTGCCCCTTACACATATGGAAGCACAGCGATCTTGGAGTGGGGGGGGGGGGGGCGGGGGGGGGGGGGGAGAGAAAGCAAATTTTCTGCTGGACAGTGGATCTCTTTGAGCCTATTGTTATGTCCTATGGCAGCAATTAAAAATAAACTTTCTTTCTGCAGAGAGGAAGTAGCAGAGACTGAGGGTCTGAAGCTAGCGAGTGGCCAGCAGCTACCCTGATCTTTTCTGGCCCATGCCAGCAGGGTGGTGGCCTGGCCCTGTACTGAAAGACTGAGGGCACAGTATGCTGCATGTCTGAGACTTAATAACTGGCCTGGGAATACCTTTCCTTCCTTCAACTCTTCCCATCCAGTCCAACACAGTTTCCCTCTGAAGGTAATCCCCTCAAAAGCTTTCTAAAGTCAGCTTCAAATACTCATGTTCACATATTTTTAATTTTTTTTATTATTTTCATACCATCCCTGTGGTCCCATGTTTAAAAAGCAAAGCTGCTCAGTGGCTTGAGACCACAGGTGCCATCATGGAGGTCCATAATGAGTATCGGTAAAAGCAAGAGAGAATTAAGTCCCCAGGCCAGATTATAGTGCTGGTACACAACCATGTACAGCCTTGTCCAAGCCTTCTACAGCACCTGCCACAGCAAAGGTGTTGCTTGTGAAGTCCTGACAATATTGACCATAGTCATTATTGTTATGTGCATAAATATTTTAGCTTCTTTTATGACTCTGCGCATGTGTGTGTGGGCAATATCTATGTGCATGCTCATATAAACACATTTATATCTATGTATCTATTCAATAGTGATGGGCCTGTTAAACTGAACAGTGATTTCTCTCCTACAGATAGTTGTATAATACACACATAGTGATGATACCTAAGGTGTTTGGGGGTGGGGATGCATAATATCTTATAAATTTGAAGTTTTTATCAGGCAGAGCAGATTACTTTAAGCGTTCAATTTCTCAGCGATCCAATTTTATTAGGATTTACTATCATTTGTGCTGCACATCCCTGGGGAAATAATGCTTTGATTAATGTAATCCTGGGCTGGGATCCGCCACATGCCCCTCTCCCAAGAGAAGGGCCCTGTTTGACAAACAAAAATAGAGCAGCAACTATTGCAATCTGCACTCACCTTTCGCAAGCACATAGACCCACATGCACACACAGACACAAAATATAACCTTCTCCTCCCCCCCAACCCCAAATACAATAGCAGCATCTCAAAACAATGTGCACTTATTCATTTACACACAATGACTCTGATTCAATGTGGGCTGTACAGTCCAGCCCTCAAATGCATAGAGACAGCCCAAAAAGGATTCTGCCCTGTCCCCCGCTGAGAAGCTGAAGCATCTCTGGGAAGCTCAATGCTTCTCTGTGTTCCAGGCCCTCCTTGGGCTCCCAACATTTCTGCCTCTTTGTTTCCCACTGCAGGGCTTGCCACAAACCGATTTCAAGTCTTCTCCTTCAGACCCAGGGGCTGGAGAAGCTGTCCCTCCAAGGCTCCCTGGCACCTACTGGGGGGACATGTACCTCTCTAAACGGGCCCTGGTAAGTGAATCACAGCCAGGCACTCTGCTCAGCTCACAGGGTGAGTGGGGGAACCCAGAAAGCAACATCAAAAAGAAAGACTCGTCACATACGTTAAAGGGGAAAAAAAGAAGTATTTCTCTGCCTTTGGGGGTTGCTGGGGTTTGAGCATCTTTGTTCCAGCCAGCACCACCACCTCCCCCCCCGCGGCTCCCCCCCTTCTGTTTGTGTCAAAGACTGGCAGGAACAATAGCGTTTAAACAGAAGTAAATATGCCCAGATCAGAGCCCAGCCCCAGAGAAAGGGAAAGCTTTCTCTATATCCCTAGGTGAACTGGCCGTTGTTCCCCCTTTTCCTCCTTCTCTCCTCTCGCCCACAAAACAACGCCCATTCCCGACAGCCCAAATAGCAGTTTAATGTTGAATTTCTTCCTTCCACCCTGCCGGAACAAAGCAGGTCCCCCTGCGCCTGAGGAGGACATACAGTGTCACAAAAAGGGCTCTGGCAGCACTCGGGCCACTCTTTCTCAAGTCCGGAGTAATAAATCCAGGGGAAGAAGGAGGGGAGGGATCTACAGTCTGGAGATAAGGAGGGATGCGGTTTGCGCCAGGGTTTTCAATAAGCTGCTGCTCTCTCCTTCGTGTTTACTCACTGACCCCCAATACGGTGACTCAGCGATTACAGAGCACTGGGTGTCTGCGTGTGTAAGGGTGTGAAGGGGAGCGGGGGGATTTCCTCCCCCTTTTCCCTTTCTTTTCTTTCCTGATGAAAAACGTTGCAATTACATTTCTGCATGCTGATCAGAGAGTTCAAATAACAAGCCTTAAACGCGTTATCAGGCTCTTGTTAAAGAGGGAAGAGGGAAGTGAAGGGGGGAACAAATCCAGACGTATATGCCTGGATGTATGCATACCTATATAGACACAAATTTAAATGACAGACTGCTACAAGAAGAGATGGGCCGTTGTTCGGACCGAGTGCCTTCACCCCAGCAGATGAGGAAAGAGCCTCAACTTAAAACACCAACCAAACTAGAGAGGAAAGCAAGACGCACAAATCACTCCGGGGAAAAGTTATTTAGACACAATCTCTAGATTTTCCCAGTGCAAACTGACTTTCCTATCGGGTTTGATCCAGTTTTCCTGCTCCTCTTCCCTCTCCCACCCCGGGGGGGATCCACCCCTATTTCGCGTTCTCCTTCTCAGAAGTGGCTCCTGCCGCCCCGCCCGGGAGGGCGTTTGCCGGGACCTTGGCGTGGCCGCGGCCCGTTCCGTGCCCGCGGAAAGGCCGGCGGGGCCGGGGTCGCCCCCCGGGAACACGCGGGGTGGCTGCGGGCTTTCGGGTTCCAGCCTCCGCCCCCCACACTGCTGCCCCCCTGACTCTTGGCAGGCGGCGAGAAATTGTTTCAGAAGTTGGGCGGTGGGGCTGAATTTAGAGAGGGGAGGAGGGAATAAATGCAAGGAGATGATGAATAACTTTAACTTTTGACTGTAGGAGTCATGATGGAGTTGAGCGAAGCTGCGGGGAAATATGTCATTTAATCCCAGGGCTACTGAAGTCCCTTTTATCAAACGTCGTGATGCTGGAATTATACTGCTGTAAAAGCGACTGAGTACTTAAAAGTATCCAACATCAGGCAAATGTATAGATTGGAGGAATGGGTGTAAAATGAAGGCACGTACAAACTAATCACAGGACCGTGAAAAGCCCAAGAGGATTAGATAAATATAAATAGATGTGCATTAAAAAAAAAAAAAAAAAAAAAAAAAAAAAAAAAAGCACGATAAAACTCTAGCTGCTGTATTCACACAAGGAGAACAGACAGCGTGTGCATGTTTGTGTGCAATGCCAAAAAGAGCAGCCTTAAGGTTGACCTACTGCAATCTGCACTCAGCTCCTCAGACAATAGACAAGTTCAAATGTCAAAAAATCTAATAATAATAACCAGAGCTGCCAAACTGCACGAACTGTTTTCTGGTGTATCACAATTATTCACCCTCATATCCACTAAAACACTTCCAGTCCTTATGCGTGTAAAAGAAAATCTATGTAATGCATATGGATTTTTTTTATCACATGTGAAACGCCATTGAGATGGCAAGCACGCAAATCGGAATGATATCATGTCTAATAAAAGCAGGGCTAAGGTTTTCACAGTCTCTTTTAAAAGACTCCAACTTGTAAATCCCCTTTTAATGTCGCTACATGCACAATTATTCTTATTAATAAAAATCTACATGTTCAAGGGTCTGGATTGAAACTATGTATCCCTCTGATTTTAACATCGGTGGGAGCATTAGGTTTCCATCATATGTAATGTGTCTACGTTGGGCTCAAGTCAACAGATAGATTGTTCCATTCATTTGGCAACTCTCATTACAGTCCGTGTGAGATGAACCCTGAGCAAGACACGTTGGGTAATATCAAAATTATGCAGCTGGGAAATAAAGGAATCTTGCTTTTCATGTGCAGTTCTGTATTACTGTTCTAATTTATTACAGAACCCGAAATGCTTTGTTATGCTCAAAACAATAAACAAGGTTCCGAGTGAAGCCTTCAGAATAAAAGGTACGGAAAAATGATCCGCCTGCCTATTGTGTTTATCTTTATTATCGTCAGCCTTTAAAAGTAATCTGTGTATTTTCCTATTTTCTCCAGATTGGTTAGTGTAATATCCCTAGTGCAGCTATCAACGTGGTCATAAGAACTATGAACTACAGCGTGGGTAAGCTTGCAAAACCCAGAGCAGATCGCATTAGCCAAGAACGCTACATATCTGGAAGCCAGTCAACTTCACGTTTGCAGCTGACTGCTGTATTATGCACGAATGTGTTTTACATATAGCAGACTGTATACGGAATATGTCTTTATGTTTAACATTTTAATTTGTAAATGCTAATTAGGCAGTTGGTCTCCACGGTTATATTAGTACATACCTAATCATTTCCCACTATAAGTAAATGAATACTAAATACGGTAAACACTTTCTTTTCACTATTTCCATGACAGTATCTCTTCTACATCCATTTTCCAAAGGGGTCCATTAGGACAAAATAGGCATTTATTTTAAAAAGGGGGAGGAAAAAAATGCACTCTGTAGCACTCTTACAATTGGGGTGCCACGGCAGGCATGGAGCCGGCAATCCTGGCCGGACCGGAGTCCTCCAAAGGCAGCTAGAAAAGTTTACTTTTGCCGAATTAACTTGTTGCTCGTTTTAGCGTTAGTTTTTCTCTCGCTTGCGGTACCTAGTCGCCTGCTGCTGCTAACTGGCGCAGGCACACAGCAGAGGAGCTGCGCTTCTAAACCCTGTTTTGTTTAAAATATAACGCAGGTTACGCTTGGAGGATCGGGGGTAGGGGGGGCAGAGGAAAGCTGGGGGAAATCCGCTCAATCCCGACCCCGG